CCCCCCAGCCCCTTTGCTCTCACCCCCTTTTCTCTCCCCACAGAGCTCCTGAGCCGCCGGCGGCCGCAGCCCCTCCCCGTGGCCTCGGGCCCAGCCGGGACCCCCCAGTCCAGCCCCTCCCACACTTTGCGGGGGTCGTGTGTCCCCCAAGCCCTGCTTTTGTTTGTATTCAAACCTCTGCCGGCTGCTCCCAGTGATCCCAGTAAAGCTTCCCAGTTCTCTGCAGTCCTGATTATTGGTGAGAACTGGAGGGGCTGTGAAAATCCCAGGAACGGGCAGTTTGGGCACTCCCAGACAAAAAGAACCCTGGAGAAAGGTGGTTTGGGCACATCTAGAGCTCAAAAATCTGGGGAACAGGGAATTTGGGCACTTTCAGCTCCACAAATATTGGAAAAGAGAGGTTTGGGTGCCATCGGTGTCTGAAAAACCCAGGAACAGGGGGGTTGGGAACATTCATACTCCTAGAAACATGGGGATCTGGGCTCTCCTAGACCCTAAAAATCCCAAGGACAGGGTGGTTGGGGCACTTCCAGACCCAAAAATCTTGGAAAAGAGGGGCTTGTACACACCCAGACTCCATCAAAATCCCAGGAACTGGGGGTTTGGGCACAATCAGGGTGACAAAATCCTGGGAACAGGGGTCTCCCAGCCCCAAAAAATCTTGCAAAAGGGAGGTTTAGATTCTCCCAGAAACCCAAAATTGTGAAAAAAGAGGGGCTTGGGCACTCCCAAACCCACAGAATCCTGGATGAAGGTGATTTGGGCACATCCAGACCCCCAAAATCCCTGGAACAGGGGGGTTGGGGCGCTCACAGAGTCAGAAAATATTGGAAAGGAGGGGTTGGACACTCCCAGACTCCTCAAAATCCTAGAAACAAGGGAATTTGGGCAATCCCATCCCACCCAAAATCCGAGGAACAGGGGGGTTTGAGCACCTCCAGAGACACAAAATCTTTGGGGAAGGGATGTTTAATCACCCCCAGCCCTCAAAATCATTGGACTGTGCAGGTTCAGGCCCTCAAATTTAGGGAAAACTGGTCTTTTGGCATTCCCAGATTTTGAAAATCTTGGAAAAAGTGGCTTTGGGCACTATCAGGCCCTGAAAAACCCGGGAAGAGGAGGGATTTGGCACACACAGACCCCAAACATTGTGGGAAAAGAGAGGTTTGGGCACACCCAGATACCCAAATTTCTGGGAACAGGGGGGGCATTGGGCAATGTGAGCCTCCCAAAAACAGAGGAACAGGGGGTTCCCAGACCCCAAGAATCCTGGGAACAGCAGGTGTGGAGCACCCCCAGAGCCCCAAAATCTTGGTCAAAGGGCTATTTGGGCACTACCAGACCCCACCCAAATGGGGAGAAGCTCCAGGCCCCCAAAAGTCCTGGAAAAGAGGGATTTGGATAGAATCAAAAATCCGGGAATTGGGCACCCTCAGCTCCTCATCTGCCTCTTGTTTTGGGCAACTCTGAGCTCCGGGACAACTT